CATAACATTAAAAGACTCAAGATACTTTGGAGGGATCATTATCACTATACTTATTTGATCCTACATGGCCACAAGAGTTCAATTAATGGGTTTGTTCATGGTTTTACACCACACATGACTTCAAAAGTTGTTCTTAATGCTCTACTTAAAGGAGATTTCTGAAATTTCAGTTGTGGTGTGACCAGCAGTTGGCATAATGGCTATGTCGCTGGACTCCCATGTAGTCGACTGTGGTTCCAGTACTGGTCCCAGTGGCTTACACACACTGGGCACATATGCGTGCATGCCCAAGATCCTGAGAGGAGAATGGAGGAGAAGGGATTATGGTGTGGCCATTCCCCCTGGGGGTTGATTTCTCACTTTCTCTCTCTCTGTCTCTTCTCTTCCTGGTGAGCACATGTGCCTAATAGCAAAAACCTCTCAAAAAAAAAAAAAAAAAACAGTTGTGGCCCTTACTTAAATACTGTCACAATGCACACTTGGGCTATATAATGGTCCAATGATGTGCCAGTCCTGAATCTTCCATGTTAATCACTTTATCTTGAGGCTATCAAGCAGAAGTTTCTTTTGATCAGAAAATTCCTTTCTCTATTGCCAAAAATTCCTTTGACCTCTCTATATTCCCAGCCGACTTGGTCAGCTGATTATTACATAATGGATCCTCAAGTCCACATCATATCCTCTTCATTTTTCCAGTCAATTTTTCTGTCTTGGCTGTCATTGATCTGTAATGTACCTAAGGCTCCTCCCCTGGAATTCAGCATTAGTCTTCTATCATAGAGACGCTTGAAAATAACAGCGATAACAGAGCAGCTCTGTTTATCTTTTCACAGGAAATTGTCCTGAGCCTGTGAACCAAGGAGCATTTTAATGTTCTTTCTTCTGCCTACCCTCTCACCTCCAGTCCACCTACAGTGAACAATAGTCTTTCCATCTGGTCTTGTTAACCCTCGGCTGAAAAGCAACTTTTTCCATGAGATCAATTTTTTGAGTGTAAATCTGGAACTTTGCTTTCAAAGTCTGACAGGGATATATAAAAAGACAAATTATAGGTGCTTTGGTTGTCACAGCAGGGACTCCTATCATGTCATCAGCTTTCTTGTCCCCAAAGGTGTGAACTGCCTGAAAGACCAAAGTAATTGAAAGGCAGGCATTAAACTCTTGGTTTCTCAGATATTAACAGAAATTGCCTCCTACTGAGGCTGCTTTCTGGCTTAGGGTTCTGAAAGAGAAAAAAAAAAACAGGCCATTCTGCTTCTAGTGTAAGTGTTGAATGTACTTTAGCCCACAAAGAAGAAAAGTCTCAGTGAACTGGTATGAATGAACCTCTCCCTCTCTCTCTCTCCCCCCCCCCCCTTCTCTTTTTCTTCTCTTCTTTCCTCTCTCTTCTTTGGCTACACCCTCTCCTACCCTCAAAGAACAAGAAGTACTAGGTACACCCGAACACTCATTGCATCTTATACCCAAAGTATGCAGCACCTTTATTAATTTTTTTATTATTACAGGGTACACATGCTCACCAGAGAGACAAAGAGACAGAAAGCAAGCAATCACCCCTTGGTTGGTATGGCCTTGCTGCAATCCCTTCTCCTCCATTCTCCTCCTGGGATCTTGGGCACGCACGCACATGTGCCTGGCATGAGTTTTCTACTGGGCCTGAAGCTTGACGGCCATGTGGGAGTCCAGCAATGTAACCACTACACCATTTATCTTCAAGTTCATGAAGGCCACCTTCACTAGCTATTATGCTGGTCTCGCAAATGATCCAAGTGTGAGTATGTGGATATAAAAATTTGGCGTAGGCATAGAAAGAAAATATAGAACAAATAATAAGCCAAGGGGTTCAACTCATTGATTACTATACATGTTTATCTTAATGAAAAAATGATTAATGATTTATATGTTGGCACATAATAAACTGTTTCAGGAAATGCTGGGTAAACAAGCTGTCCAGAACCTACTTGTCTGAGCAGCTTTTAAACAACTAAATAGGTCCACAAGTTTCATATGAAGGTAAAATTAGCCATGAAATCCATGACCTGCCCAGCTAAGAGGGGAGTCCACAATCAAATTGGCCAGTCACCTGGCTAGTTGCTAGGTAACCAAGAATCCCAGGAGTCATTTGTCAGATATCCCTGGTTATCACTCCCCATCCCCATCATGTCCAACCTGAATATTAAAAACCTTCCCTCTGTTCAGGTCAGTTACTAGTGTCCTGGCCTGGCAATGGTGGAGAAGGAGGTTACATACAGAACAGTTTGAATGAGGTTCATTAGATGTCCAATTTACAAATAAGAAAAATCTGCTTGAATACCTTCTTTAAAAGAAGTAGCTACTGTCAACTTTGACAGCTTACCTTGTTAAAAAATAAAAGAAAAAAGAAAAAACATTTCAGGGCACTGATAATCTGTGCTTCTACTGATCAATTATTAGAAAAGGTACGAGATGGGGACTGGCAGGTGGCATGGTGGTTAAGGGTGCTGGACTCTCACATGGCCAACTATGGCTGGAGTCTCAGACATGGCGGCTTGTCTTCTCACTTTCTCTCTCTCTCTCTCGCTCTCAGTCTTGCTCTGTCTCTCTCTGAGCAAAAAAAAAATTCCCTTTCTGGTCAAATTAAAATAAATAAATTAAATAAAATAATTTTTTATAAATTGTTATTCCTCAAAAAAAAAAAAAAGGAAGAGATGGGAACCAGCAGTTAGCGTAATGGCTATATCACTGGACTCCCACATAGTCGACCGCGGTTCGCGTCACGGACCAGGTGGCTTAAAACACGCCGGGCGCATGTGTGTGCGTGCTCAAGATCCCAAGAGGAGAATGGAGGAGAAGGGATTGCGGCATGACCATCCACCCGGGGGGTGATTTCTCGCTTTCTGTCTCTATGTCTCTCTCTGTCTGTCTGGCAAGCGCACGCACCCTATAGCGAAAACCTCTTGAAAAAAAAGGAAGAGAGAAAAAGAAAAGGTATGAGATATAAAGACACTCCCCAATGCAATCGGAATATTTTCTAAGACAACTTCTCTGCCCAAATAACTTGCAGTGTCCTCATAAATGGTGAGTGATGTTCTATAAAATATGCCTTGGTTCCCACGTAGCTCCCTGAAGCTACTGCCACTTCATGCATCAGCCTTTCCCTCTATTCTCCTCCCCTTCCCCTGGTCCAGATGAGTATAAACTCAACATTGTTTTCTGCCTTTTCCAAAACTATATTCCATCCCAGCCCAGGTAAACTTCACCTGTCTGAGACAGAAAGAAGAGCAGATAGGGAAGATACTAACGCTTCTATCATTTTTGAAATTTATTTTCAATGGCATAAATAGTCCCTCTAGTTTTTGTCAAAGCCTTCTCACTGGGTGTTCAAGAACATTTCTTTAACATTTTATTTCAATTTCTTTTATACATTCAATCACATATGTCACTTAGCTTGCAAAGTGAATATTCCAACATGTATACATTTCTCACCAATCCAGTTGGGAATACTATACATCATCCTCAACAGACAATTAGCCCTCTCTCTATCCCACAAATGCCCCACCCCTCCATTTCTCTCCCCAAGGTCCCTCCTCAGTCTCTCCTCCTTTACCTACCCTCTTCCCACATTGTATCTGGTATTTATAACCATTTTCTATGTTTCTATACCCTCTAGTCATTCCATTTTGGCTATAGAGTGCAGACATTCGGTATATATTAAGTGGAGACATACAATCCTTCATAGCCTGGCTTACATCACTCAGCAGTAAATCTTCCATATTCATCTACTTTCTGTCAAAAGCCAGGGTCTTATTGTTTTTTATGGCTGTGTAGTATTCCATAGAGTATGTGTGCCATACTTTTTCAATCCAAGAACATTTTTTTTTAAGTTTCAAAGCATCTTTTAAGACTTAATATTGAAAGTAACTTTCTCCTTGCAGACCTGTTGTAATAACCCTATTCTCTATAAGCATTTATGAATGTTTCTGATTAGGTCAGTGCAAGACTATTCGGAGAAGAAAAAAGAGGCACAAAATTCAGCATTTCAAGGAAACATCTCTCTACAATCACATTTACTGCTCCTCTCCTTTGTTAATGATTCATTAATCTTAAATTTTTCCTTCAATAACTGCTGAAACTTCCCTCTCAAACCTTTTAGTTGCTAACTCTGCTAGTTTTTCTTTTCAGACATCAATTTCAGATAACATTTGATAAAGCTGATCATATCATCTTTATAAGTTAGGAATGGAGAGTCATGATGCAGAAGAGGTGGGACTCACTCCATTCATAAGTTCTGAAGAGAGATTATTGGAAAGATACTGAGATGTTTCTTCCCAAATCAGTTACTTGTTCAATCCTGTGTCTCAGGGTCTGCATCTTGATCTGGCATTTCAAACCTATCCACCTACCCAGGGTAGAAATTAACTCCCCAACCTCACAATAACCTATAACAAATGCAGTTTAAATGTCTAGTGTTATTTATTTATTTATTTATTTATTTTTGGAGAGGTTTTTGCTATAGGGCGTGTGCGCTTGCCAGACAGAGAGAGACAGAGAGACAAAAAGTGAGAAATCACCCCCCAGTGGGATAGCCACACTGCAATCCCTTCTCCTACATTCTCCTCTTGGGATCTTGGGCACGCACGCACACATGTTCGGCGTGAGTTTTAAGCACACGGGTCCGGGACACGACCCGTGGTCGACTATGTGGGAGTCCAGTGACATAGCCATTACGCTAACTGCTGGTCCTTCTAGTGTTATTTTTTTCAATCATATTAAACCTGTCTCTTTATCACTTTCACATATTATATCTGTATTTCCCTCAAGGGATACTTTGCTATAAAAATCTAGACATGGATCAGGCACAAAACTGCAGGCAAGAACATGTTAACCATTCCTCCTGGAAATATTCTCTAAAATGAAACATGACACAGATCAAACAATTCCAAAGTTTTCTAGTACTTGACATCTTAACTAACGTTTCATTGAAATATATTTATCAGTTTCAGAAAAATACAGAGACAGTATTTGTCTATAAAAGCATACTTTAATCCATTTAAAACCCACTCATTTCACCTCCCACAGCTGCTGTTTTGTTCTGATGAAAGATGAATAAGGAATAAACAGAAGGCCTCAAATGAGTCTACACCTTTATACCCGTGTACTCCCCTTGAAAAACCTAGGAGGGTCTTCACATTAGGGAAAACTGTCATCAAATATGTAGTCACTCAATAGTCAGGAACTGACATTTCTTTCATAAAGAAATGGCAGGGAGCACGGTAGGGGGAGGCAAATTACAGGTCTTGTGCTTGATACATACTGTGGGAAAAATCCCCAAAGAGAGGACTGAATTATATTTGTTCTCAGGCAAGAAGGCAGAAGGCACTCCTTGGATCATAGCATGGTGATTCAGCTACACCACGTAAGTGGTTCAATCTCCTGACAAGAATCAGAATCCCTATACTTGGTGGCAGGCTTAAGTAGGGTGAAGCATCAGGATAGAAATCATCCTGTCTCTTTTCATTAAAGGTCCCTTCGTATTTGGTTTCACTGAGGGAAGCCAACTTCTCTAATCAGGAAATCATGTTCTTTCTGCTTCCTAATCAATTCATAGAGTGTGTTCTGGCCCACAGGTTGGATCAATCTATGATGCTTAATAGAATCATAAAGCTGAATGAAGCATTTGAGTTTCTCTTGTCTAATCCTCTAATTGTACTGATAAACTCAGGTCCAGAGAAGTTGGCAATTTTCCCAAAAATACACAGCTAGCTCATACACAGGCTCATGCATATTCTTCATCCTGACTGACATTAGAAAAATAAGGAAGCGTATCTGGATTCAGATTTAGGAGAGCAAAGGGTCGTGTTTGTACCGATGACTGGAAGTTGAAAAGTGGATACCAGAAGAGAAGAAGAATGTGCCTCCATGCTTGAAAAGCTGTTTAAAGTGTCCAGTTACGCAGATGTTTTCATTTAGCCACAGCCGTTGGCTGGAACCTAGCAAGCCAACCACGGCTCCAGGAGCTACTGGCTTTCCACAGCACAGGGCCTTATGCTGGTGATGGAGACGCTCTGTCCTCTGCATCTCAGAACGCCCACCTCACACTCGGACATCGTCTGCTCCTGACCATTCACGTCCACACAAACACTAAATCCTTCTTCTTCACACTCCGATACTTCTCGGCAGACACACTTGCTGCTCTGGGCTAAAAAAAGAAGCAAGAGAAGTTTCATGGTACATCGTGGAGATGGGGGAATCAAAGTATGTTTCCTCCAAATTAAAAGGCTATATAGCTCCCTTCTTGAGTAATAGAATAACCTCCTCTCCTGAAAAGCAGTAAGACCAGGAAATTGAGGCAGTTTCCTTTGTCAGAATAAATAGGTTTTGAGGATAGGCCAGGCTATCCATTAGATGGATGCACATGGGGTGATTTTATCCAAGCCCAGGACTATTCAGCTCTTTTCACATCTGCAGCTGTTCGTATGAGTCAGCAATTGAGTATAATGTTTCTCCTCGGAGGCCGAATGCATAAAACTCAGGAAAGAGGTCTCGACACTCTGTTTGAGTGTCAAGGCAAGAGAGAGAAAGGAGGAATTAAACTTGCTATGAGAAAGGGCATGACCTGTAAAAGCTATATATCCACCCCCCCACAACAAAAAAAAAAGTCAAAATGAACGGAGGCAAGGAATCTGTGCACAGAAGGTGCACAGCTGGAATATGCCATCAGGTGTCTCCAAGAGAGTAACAAGGTCACCTTGTGAATGATGGTGACTGCCAAATCAAAAGTAACTGAGACAGAGTTACAGTTAGACATATTATTTGTGTTGCAAAATGTGATGGGGTCATAAGGGGACAGGTGCCCAGCCAGAACAGGCTTGGAGACAAAGGTAGTGAAGAGCCAGTGGAGACCTTACAAATCACACAATTCCACTTCCAAATTTACAGACGGAGTACCCCAGGCAGTGATCTGACTCTGGAACCCAGCCCTTCCCTTTTCATAATACAGCCCAAAGTATGGGAAATGTGCCTTGCTCTTGGCAATATTTAAGATCTTTGTTAAGTGCTTCTTGGATAGCATTAGCAAATATTGACTCACAACTCAAGAAACAATTCCTTCTCTATCCTCTTTAAATCCTTCTGATGATTTCTCAGAGAAAGTGTCAGCTTGGTGCTAGTGTGTTTTTAACACCTCTCTAAAACTCGCTAAACTCCATTTATCACAGAGAAAGATCATTGATCTCAGAGCAGTATCTGGCTAGAATCTACAACTGGATTTTGTTTTAGTCATATATATTTTTATGGTTTAATATTTTATAGTTTTTAGATAAGTGATCCTTTATCTTAAGGACATGACATAAAGTTTCTGTTCTTTTTTAAAGTTATTTTATATGAGTTTTTTTTTTAATGAGTATATACTATGAATAATACAAGAACAGAGCAAAAGTCATAAAGTGAGGTGGGGAGGGGCCAGCAGGTAGTGTGGTGGTTGGGATGCTGGACTCCCACATGGCCGACTGCGGTTCAAGTCCCAGACCTGGTGGCTTGCTTTCTCACTTTCTCTCTCTCACTCTTTCTCTCTCATGAGTGTACATGCCCTATAGCAAATTAAAAAATAATGGCAATAATAAAATTAAATAAATAATTATTTGGGAAAAAATGGGGTGAAGATCATCTGTATTTGGAATAATATTTAGACTATCAAGAATGAGTTCTGGTTGTCTTGGGTAACTGATCTGTGACCTTCTCCAAGGATGGGAGTCACGGATGGGAGTTCACTATCTGTCTTTAATATCCTCAGGGATCTGCTTTCATCCACTGCTAACTTAGAAGCTACATTTTTTTTTAAGATTTCAGTACTACTACTTTAGCATTCTTACCATTACAAATATGAAATGCACCTTACCATCACATTTTCTCCATAATGGACACACACCACAAGCTTTCTCAACTGAGGCAGGCAGATTACAGCTGTCCGTTCCAGCAAGAGTGTAATTTCTACCCTGACAGTGGAGAACATGCATCTTGCAAACTGTCAGAGGCAGTATTCTTTTGCTTCTCTCATCTCGAGCACACACATCCAAGGAAGATCTGAAAATAATTTTTAAATTACATTACTTATAAGATTTTCATTCTTCAAAAGCTGAAAAGGGCGGAGTAAAGACTGAGGTTCTGAGCTCAGTGCCCCTAAATGTTATTTATTACTCACAACAAAAGACAGAATGGAAAGTTAAACAACCTTCATGCTAAAGGCTCAACCCCTTCAGATCTTCAAAGTAAATATATTTACTCTTTATTTGCTCACAATTTTTGCAACCATAGATACCCAGTGTTGATCTAGTTCCATTTAGAACAGATCAGATACAGCAAATTATAGGAGGTAATCTGCTAATGACAACTAGTGGATTAACAACAACAAAAAAAGAGACAGAAAATCAGCTAATCAGAGATCATAATCAAATGGGATCACTGCATACAGGAGAAATTAGCTTTTGCCACCTAAGAGGTTTTTTTTTATAATATAGCACTGTCCATAATTAATGACCCTCAATCATCCAGGGAAGATTAAATTGTATTATCAATGCTATTTTTAAAAGTGTCTAGTTTTACAATGTATTATATTAGAAATATTTCCATTTAAAAAATGTTTTGAGTATTGGTGCTAAAATGTTAAGATTCAGCTACTTAAAAATGTCACTAAGAAAAGCAACCACACTGTTTCATGCTGATGGATAAGGAAGGGATTACCATAAGTGAAATCTTAGACAACAAAGTATTTTGAGTCCACATTCATATTTTCTTTAACTCTTGGGTTCTTCTTTGGCTGAGAGTAAAATTTACTTGGAGTTATTTTAAAAAACAAAAAAAACAAATTCTTGTATCTGTCTTTTGATCTGTTTATTTAAACTTTAAATAGAACTGTCTCAGAACAGCTAAAAAGTCAGAGAACTTACAATGCCACCTTATTATCAGCATCTGATATCATGAAATGATATGAAAGCTCATACCATGTCCATAAACAACAGGCTGCAGATAAACTAAATGAACTGAAGAAGTTGGAAGGAGGATAGAAGTGAATCAAAGTAAACAATGATTAATAGAAAATAGCAATGGAGTCAGAATATTAGAATCAGAATATATCTAACTAATCAGAACTGGCCCTGTAGCCCTAATAGTTAAGGGAACCAAAATCCACATGACCAACCACACAGTTTGAGTCCTGATCCAAGCAGCTTGAAAAATATCCTGGTCATGTATGAGTGCATGCCGCAAATCCCAACAGGATTAATAAAGGGAGAAGGGCTTGAGGCATGACCACATCGCATTAGGACATCTACTCTCCACTCTTCCCCTCTGTCCTAAGAGGCTCACATGTGTGCACTGTTTCATGAATTACTTTGCTCTCTAGCTTTGGATGGGTTTGATCAATGGCAAGCCCTGCCAGGAGATTGGAGGCAGGGAATGAGAGTAGTTAGGGCACTTATTCCTCAATGCACTTCAGCGGGATTTTTGAGGCCCCTAAAGTGGGAGATTTAGCCCCTCCTCAGCAGCTATCTCCACATAGTCCTCCCTCTCTCCAAATTTCCAAACACTCCTTCAGTCTTGGACAGGCTGAGCATTTATCAGTCCAGGAAGATAGCCCTATACCTTATCATTTCCTTTCTTCTACCCACACTTCAGTAAATATCCTTGCTAACAAACCTCTTTTTGAACTATCTGTATCCAGCCAGGACCAAGACTCAACTATCTAGCACCTACTTCTGATATCCTCCTACAATGGAGGGAGTTCACCTTGGTGACATTCATAAGGTAAATGTAGAGAAGATGCTACAAGTGTCAGAAAAGCAGCTGCTTTTGTTCTTTGTTGGTATTACTTTAAGAAAGCTCTTACAGTTCTACATCTTAAGGAAATTTCAGCCCTCATCCTCCAAGGCTTTAAACCCTCAAGTGACAGTTTAGTCATTTTGGTCCATTTTATACGCAGAGCAAGAGTCCTTCAGCCTTTCTCACTAGCCAGATTCAGAATGTTACCTAATACCACCACAGTGTCAACCTTTGTGACCTGGGCAAATAGCAGGCAATAGCCTGTCTAAAACGCAAAGATCCTTCACATCAGTAAGCTACCAATTTGACCTAACAGAGACTACCATTTAAGAAATTAATCCATTTATTTTCAGTAAAATAAACCTGAGACATAAGCAAAGACAGAGCTTACCCACATTCATAGGGCATTTTACAAACACATCTTGAATTCTGCAGTTTCTCCCAGCGCTGACATTCAGGCACTGCCTGTCTAACTGGGCTGTCTGAAAGAAAGGATATGAGCAACGAAACCTTAGAAAAGTCTCTTCCGAGTAAATAAGGCATTACTTTAATTGTTGAACCAAGATTAGTAATAATGTCAATTACAATCAATTCATACAGTGAAAAAAAAAAAGTAAATAAGGGCCAACAAGTGGCATGGTGGTTAATGTGCTGGACTCCCACAAGGACAACCATGGTTCAAGTCTCAGACCTGGCAGCTTTAAAATCATGCTAGGCTCATGTGTGTGCCCAAAATCCTGAGAGGAGAATGGAGGAGAAGGGATTGCCGCATGTCCATCCTTCTTGGCAAATGATTTCTCACTTTCCCTCTTTATGTCTCTTCCCAGTGAATGCAAAAATCTAAGTAAATTAAGTTGTAAATCATCATATAAGAGTGAAGTGTTACTAGGTACATTCTATTTTAGAAAAATTGCAGATAATAGCTACCATTTCTTGAGTATTTACAATTGACTATGCACTTTTTTATACATTGTGACACTTATTCCTCCTAACAAATGTCCATCTAATAGATGAGAAAACTAAGGGTCAGACAAATTAGGAAATTGGTATTAGTTCACATATTTAACAAATTGGCCAAACCAGGATTTAAGTCCCATTTGTCTAAATCACAGTCTAGTAAAGTAAATCTTTTTTCAAGAAGTTGGTGTTTGTAGATTGTTGTTTGAACTGAATTCTGTCCACTGTGCCTATAATAGGAAAGAAAGCAGCAATATCACTTGATTTGTATGTGGAGAACTCCTTGGTATTCTTAGATCTATAATAACCTCTTACATGTCAATGTCCAAATGGTCTCCCCTCAACAGTAAGGAAATGTCTGGAGGTACTTATGTTAATAAAATTCTTTCCATTGCTTCATGTTTTCTAGAAACTGATAAAAAGTCAACCCTCATTCCAGTTTCGACAGGAAAACACTTGATCCAATTTACAAGGGCATAATTCAATAGCCATCACCTTGGCCATACCTGACTTCAATGCGAATAGTCTAGAATGTGCTGATTCTTCCAATCACACTGGGAAAAGCCATTTTGTATGCTCTAAAGATGTACAGGGACTAGATGTAAATTTTTAAAATTATATATATATGTATATATGTATGTGTATATATATATATATATATGTATGTATGTATGTATATATATATATATCTTCACATCAAGATGAATTACCCATGAGGGGAAATGAAAAGTTGTTTACTGAGTATGGAGTTTCAGTTTCGGAAGATGAAAAAAATCTGGAGATGAATGGTGGTGTTGCATAACAGTGAGAATGTACGTAATGCCACTGATCCATACATTTACTAGTGGTTAAAGATTTTATTTTATGTGTATTTTACCACAATTTTTGAAAAAAGACTAAATACTGAAACAGCTGGTATTTTCAAACATCAACTTTGGAGACTGACAGATCTGGGGGCTTTGTTTTATATTTTGCTTTTTTAAGGGTAGTCATAATTGTTATCCACATCTGTTATCCACCAGAAAAACACACAGGTATGAAGAACATCCTTAATTAAAACCAACCTTAAGAGAAGTTTTTACTGAGTGGGAGAAAAATTATACCAAATTATGCTATAAAATGACCAACACAGACATTTTTTAAAAAATAAGTATATAATCTCATTTGGAACAAAAGTGCAACCTCATCAACTGCTTATTGTTCTCTTTCATCTTAGAATTATAGGTACCTGCCAATTACTTTAAATATCCCAAACAAATTTATATTTATGCCTCAGCGTATGTGGGGAAAAAAAAGGAAATAATCTCTTTTTTTTTTTTTGAGATAGAGAGTTTTTTTGTTTGGTTTTTGTTTTTTGCTATAGGGTGTGTGTGTTCACAGGAGAGACAGAGACAGAAAGCAAGAAACCGTCCCCTGGAAGGATGGTCATGCCGCAGTCTCCCGCCCCCCCATTCTCCTCCACTCTTCTCTTGAGATTTTGGGCATGCATACACATGTGTCCAGTGTGAATTTTAAGCCACAGGTCCAGGACTCAAATCACAGTTGACTACACGGGAGTCTAGCAAGGTAACCATTACACAATCTGCTGGTCCAAGCAATTGTCTTTTGGTATGGGACTTTGGTAGCTAAGATCATAGAAGAACTGGCCTGGAAGACACTCCACTGAGAACACCCATTCCACTTTCTTTTGTCTGTCATCTCTACAGCTCCATGGCCCATAACTACCATCAGCAACAGAGTGTTCCATGCAGCCTACCCTCTTCTCTCAGTTTTAATATCTAATTTACTTAATATTAGGTTATCAGGAAAGTCATGATATATTTTTGCATAGGAAAACAGAAAATAACATCATGACTTTCCTGAAAACCTAACAGTATAACTTATGAAACTTAGTACTCTATCGTCACTATAAAAGACAAGCTTCAGTATTTTATAAAAAATCATACACTAGGGAAATAATATGATATAAAAGAGCATGCAAGTTAATTTTTCTTCTTTTCTGTTTTTTGTTAAACATATTTTCACTTATTAAAAAATGTTTAAAAAAAAAAAAAAAGGAATAGATGTTATTTTAAAACAAATTCATCAAGACCAGCAGTTGACGTAATGGCTATGTTGCTGGACTCCCATGTATATAGCAAAAACCTCTCAAAAAAAAAAAAAAGAAATTTTATCAAATCTCAAGTATCTTTAAAAGAGAAATAGTTTGGCTTCTTGAATTCCTCTGTACCTTAGGGTTTTAAAAGACCATTTTATTTATTTGTATTTTTTAAATTTATTTTATACATTTAATCAATGGACATCACCAGAGCTTGCAAAATGAATTCACCCAACATGAACACACCCCACATCAATCTAGTCAAAGATATCATACACATTATCATCAACAGACAATAATCCATTTCTGTGTCCCTCAAACGTCTTGCCTCTCTATTTTTCTCCTTGATTCCTCTTCTCTCACTCTGCACCAACTCCCACCCTCTTCCCACACTGTCTCCCATGCCTGAAACTATTTTCCATGCTTCTGTATCCTCTAATCTTTCAGTTTCTGCCACAAAATGTGGACAGTTGGTTTATATTAAGTGGAGACATATAATGTCTCTCTTTCACAGCCTGGCTTGCTTCACTCAGCAGTAAATCTTCCATATTCATCCACTTTCTAAAAAATGCTAGGGTCTTGTTTTTTATGGCTGGGTAGTATTCCATAGAGTATATGTGCCATGCTTTTTCAATCCACTCATCTGTTCATGGACATTCAGGTTAGCTCTGTGTCTTAACAATGATAAATAATGAATGCTGAAATAAACATAGATGTGCAAGCACTTTTCTGACTGAGCATTTTCCTATCCTTTAGATAGAGACCCATTTTAATTTGTCTGGTGTCCAAAATACTAGATTTAGTGATTCCACTACTAAAACCAACTTCACAGGGGCCGGCAGCGGTGATTAAAAGTGCTGGACTCCCACATGACCAACAGCGGTTCAAGTCCTGGTGGCTTTGCTTTCCCACCTTCTCTCTCTCTCCTCTTGCCTAGTCAAATTAAAATAAATAAAAAATATAAATAAAATAATTCTTAAAAAAAAACTCTAGTATGCTAAAAAATTTTTAAATAAAACCGACTTCACGAATCACAGCATTTTTCCTTTAATAATGTCTGCTTTGCAATGTTAAATGTATTAATAAATATTTTCAGGTTTTCAATTTCAATAATAAATTCTCTGAGAGCCTAGAAATAAAACATACAGCATTTTACATAAATTCTCTTAACTTTGTACTTACTGTAAGTATCAAAATGTATCAGGAGAAAACTAAAATCAGCTTTTAAAAATCCCTTATTTTCTCACCACTATAATGGATATAAAGTTAACCTTCCCTATGGAGATTTAGGTTAAAATGTTCAGAATCACCAAGGCTATCCTTGCATTTCCTTGCATTTCATCAGTCTACCTATACTACTGGGAAAAAGTCTGCTACCTGGTCTACAAACTGACCTCCTTCTCCTGGGAGGCAGGATGCTGGGAATGTCACAATATGGCCATACAGTGCATGAAGGTCCCTACAAGGACTCTCACTTGTGAGTGCATGTGTCCTTGAATAGACACAGAAGTTGCTCACCTTTTTGCACACACTGGACATTCTTCATCTCAGGACTCCACTTAAGGCTGGAGCCACAAAGAAATGCTGAAGGACCTTCTAAAGACATGCCACCTGAACAGGAAAAGGTCACCTTCTCACCAACTGTGTAGAAAGGTTTGTGCGGCTGACTCTGTATGCCATCCATCAGAATAGGTAGAACACAGGCAATTTCTAAAGATAAAAGAGAATAGAATACAAGGGTCATTGCTTTCCTAGACTTTCTTTTTTAAAATGACAGCCTTAAATGGTACTGGTGCACATGTTCTGCTTTTTCATATTAGAGGACAAGGAAGAAAGAAGTGAGTTCACTCTCGGGGGTGCCTTGAAAGACATCCCACAGTGCCTGGCATGTAATCAACTAATGACTAAAGGCCAAACAGCCGACCACCCTCCCCCACCTACCCTCAAAACAAGGTAACAAAATGAAAAAACCTTCCGAATAAAATCCTAAAGCCCAGCCTGCTGTCACAAAACTTTTTATTGTTGTCACTTATTTCTCTAGTCTGGAGATATCCCACCGCAATTTTCTCAAGAGCTGTATTCATTTGCAAACTGTTAGTCCCAATTAGATATTTTACCATTTTAATTTTTTTTTTCAGAATTTTTTCATAGGGGCCATGGGTCACCAGAGAGAGAGAAACAGAAAGAGATAAAGTGAGAAATCATGCCCTCTGGGGAGATGGCCACGTTTCAGTCCCTCCTCCTTCACTCTCCTCCCTGAACTTTGGGCATACACACACATGTGCACCCAGCATGATTTCAAGTTGGCCATGTAGGAATACAGCCCCTTAGCCACTACGCCACCTGCTGACCCCACCATTTGAAATTTCGAAGTACCACCTTTAAACATGTAACCATAAAAGTATGCAATGTTCTTTGGTTTCCTATCCCTATTCTTTCTTACTCAACTACATTCATTAGATCAAATCTACTTAATAAAAAAGCAAAGAAAAAGAGAATAATGCATAATTATGGAGCATTGATCAGGATTCATGATCTTAAAAAAACATTGGCAATCTCCCTAATGGACTTTGGTCAGTATTCTAAAAATTGTCCTCCATTTGTTCACCGTTTTCATCAGAAAATTCATTCATTCATTCAAAGAAGCATTTATTGGGCCAGATAGTGGCATATGGTAACACAACTGGACCCACGTGGAAAAAGCCCAGAATTCACATCCTCGGACCTTTCTGGGCACAGTGGACATGGGTGTGTACATGCCTGTGATCCAGGCTGTCTGAGACTGGGGATGATCACAGTGTGAAGGCCCTGTTGGGGGTTGCTCTCCAGTCTTTCTTATGAAAGAAAAAAAAAAAAAAAAACACTTGTTGAGTAACTATATTTTGGCAAGTATGTTATGTACTGCTGGGTATGCAGCAAGGTGTATAAAAGCTAATCATCTAGCATTGGATTTGATTGTCCATGACATGACATACTTGTTGGTTTTACAGTTACTCTCCAACCATGAGAAATAGAAAGGCTGTACAAAATTAAAAGAAAAAGAATTTCTACTAAGGCAGTGCAAGTTTGAAGGTCCAAGATACTAGAAAGAATGGAAGTTTAAAGTAGCAGTGATTACTATGTTTGTTCATGCTTTTGTTTTTAGGTACTTGTAAATTTGCAAACAGAATTATATATATATATATATATATATATGTGTGTGTGTGTGTGTGTGTGTGTGTGTGTGTGTATTTATGAAAGAGAGAGAGAAAGGCTATTAAACTGAGGAGAAACTCAGAGGCTATCTTACAGGCCTACAATATCAAAAATTAGAGATCAGTCCTGTCACAGAAGTGTTCAAGGCGGAAATCCCCATACTTTCATTTGGGGTCCCTCAATGGCCAGACTTCTGGAACTCTTAGAATAAAAGTGAAGCAGACATATCACGCCTTCTGTTATTAATACAACAACCCAAAATTTTCCTGACAGCAACTTTTGGTGCCAATATTTTGCTGTTTTGAAGACATACTAGCCAATAATTTTCTGAAGCTGACGAAAGATAATAAAGTACAGATTCAGTAACTGCTTTAAATAGCAACTAAGATAAATACAAAGAAAATCACAATCAAATCAAAGTAGAGTTACTGCTGAAAAAGAAATCTTCGTTTTTATAGTTTATTTATTTGCTTTTGCACAGAGAGAAACAGAGAAAGGACAAGAGATAATCAGGCATCTCCAGCACAATTTCCATGCTACAATCCACCCCCAAGCCTCACTCAGTTTAGGTCATGGGCTTTCACGCATGCCAAGCACATTTAGGGATGACACAGAGCATGTGCCCAGGAGCTCTCCTATGTGAGTTCAGTTGTCCCACCACTGCACCACCATCTACTCTCCTGCCCACAAAATCATAAAAACAGTCAGACTAAAGGAGAAGCAAGAAGACTGAAAGCTGACTTCTCACTGGAAAACAATGAAACCAGAGGCAATATTTTTCAAGGGTATAAAGAAAATCATTGCTAAAATAGAATTCCTTACCCAGCAAAACTATTCTTTAAAAATAAAAGTAAAATACAGACATTTTTAGATAAACAAAAACTGGAATAATTTTCTTATCTGTCAGTTTATAATAAAGGGGGAAAAAGATCTTTAGGCAGAAGAATCTTATTAATATTTTCAAAGAAACAGCTTTTGGCTTTATTATATCTAGCTAAAGATAGTAATATGTAATATCAGCTACTTGCACTCCAGGAGTCCAGAAGAGAAAGAGAGAGGCCTATTGATCAATAAGAAAAACATAAACCAATAGGAAAAAAAATGGGCAAAAAACTGGACAGCCACTTTGCAAAAGAAGACACCAAATAGCCAATATACTTGATAAAACAGGCTTAATGTCATTAGTCATCAGAAAAAATACCAAAACTAAATACATAAATAAATTAATTAATAAGATATTGCTACATACTCACCAGAATAGCTAAACTTTTTAAAAGGTGGATAATATCAAGTGCCAGTGAGTATACAATGGGTATTCAAAGTTTATGGAAAATACGTATGAAAAAAAGTGTGCAGGAATTTCACATTTTTTTTCTACCAAAACAAACTTGCCCTTTAATTCCTTTTCTCTATGACTTTTTTTGATTGTCTGAGGGCATGCGCACTTACCAAAGACAGAAGGAGAGACAGAGAGAGAACCCCCAAATGGCATGGGGTCACACCATTTCTCCATCCAGTCAGAATCTGGGATATTCATGGACATATACTTAGCTTTTCAAGCCTCCAGGGTCAGGATCTGAACTAGGGTTGGCCATGTGGGTTCCAGCTGCCTTAACCACTAAGCTATGGTTCCTCTATAAACTTTTTTGAAGTCCCCTTACATAGAGAAACTGACTTCTCTGATTCTGGTGGGGAACTACATTGGTACAACCACTTGGAAGACTGTTAGCATCTTCTCCATCTAAAATTAAGTACATCCAGTATATTTACACCCAATGACTCAGAAATTTCACTAGTAGGAATTTCACTAATACACCCAAAAGGGGGGGAAAAATTGTATGTATCTACTAAGGCTTTCCTCATATTCAGTAGTATAAACCAATGGATTTGTGGGGGGAAAAAATCCCTACTACTTTATTCATCTGCTGAACACACATAGAAATGGCAACCCAAGAGTGGTTGTAGAAGCCCTTACTCATATGCCTATGTCTGAACAGAATAGGATCCAAAGCATTTAAGGTAGATTGATTTTGGTATACCCCTACTCCCATACTGAGCTTTCTGATCTATTCTAATTTGCAGCTGGGACTTTAAAATTGATGTCACTGAACAGGAACATAACAACTACAGAAGGCTGAGGGCTTATTCAAGTATCTCCTAAAATTTGGACAGACTTATACCAGCTTTTCAGGAGAGAAGGCATACAATGAGTGGTTATTTATCTTAACTCATTCTCTTCCCATTATTCTCTCATCTTAGGTTATATACAACTGAGGCCACTCACTCTGACAGCGCATTTCCCCAACGAGCCACCGTAAATCTTCTCCACATCTGGCAACAGGGTCTCCAACAAGAGAGAATCCTTCGTTGCAAGTGTATACTATGTTTTTCCCAACAGGAAATGAGCCACCTTCATCCTAAACGAAAATAGGTGGAAAGAAGAAGAGTTGATCTCTTTTGCATTAATAAAATGTCTCTTTAGATATATTTGGCCTATAAATCATAGCTTTTTTTAATCATCAGGCAACCTGTGTTTAACTAATGGATTTAGAAAATTGTCTATGGAGCCACCCAGTAGCATGGTAATTAAAATAAGCCAAATAAGCCAAGTGTGTGTACATATGTGTGCATGCCCAAAATCCAAAAAGGAAAAGTGGAGAAGGGATTGTATGTAGCATGACCATCCCTCATGGAGGGTGCATTCTCACTTTTTCTCTCTCTCTCTCCTCTCCTGCCACCCTACCAAGGAAGAATAGACACCATCTAACAAGCTTTTTAAAATTGTTTATGAAAACACATTTTTCAAGAGCCAGATAATGGCCACAATGGTAATCCAATATCCTATGTTTTTCAGATTTTGAAAGCATCTTTGTTAGTCAAATCTTCATATTAAGATATAATGGGCTGTTCATTGGCAATACTTCCTAATAAGTGCCAGCATGAACACCCAGGAATATTCAAATCCTATCAGCATGTTTATGAAAGTTGAAGTTTCTTACTGAAGAATTTTAGAAGAAGCATAAAAGTAGTGACTTTCTCTCTCTCCACCCTCCAACTTCACCATATAAATATGTAAATACTACTGGGGCTGGGTCAGATTCAAGGACATTTCAGTAGCTAATAATGCCAGGGGCGAGCTATCGTGGTGATTCAAGAAAGAATCTGAAGTCTGAGCCTGTGAGGGTATAATTACGGTCATTCAGAGTCTTTGTTGGTTTCTTTCCTTACCCTTCTGGTTCTCTGCCTCTCAGAGTTTGATAAAGAAACTCACATCTGAAAGAGGGCTTAGAACTGGTAACTTAGACCAAGGATTAAAACAAAAATTTCTACTGCCTCTTTCTTTTCATTATCAGTCTTGTTTCTCCTGGCCAAGTTGGCTCCATCATGGATGTTGGTAGGATACAGAAGGCCCCTGTAGATTCTGAGGTTTTAGGAATATGGGCACAAAAGGGAGAAAGAAAGAGAAAGAGGTCGCTCTTCTAGACCTCAGGCCTTCCTCCACCTTTCAAAACAGACTTCTTTTCTTCTAAGGAAGTCTAACTCAACAGTCTCCAAAGTTGGCTCTATACCAGAACCATTTACAGCAATTTAAAAAAAAAAAGAAAAAAAAAACCCAAACCTACTGAATCAGAAACAAACAAACAAAAAAAAAACGAAGGACAAGAGGGCGTGTGTCCATGTAGCCAGTCCACAGAGCAATGTTGGGAAGCTCTGTTTCCCAAAAGGGCAACATATCCACTGGAGACTGGTGGGACAACAGGCTTATGTCTATTAACATATGAGAATAACTCAGCATTATTGGGCAGGTGTTTCATTCAGGAACTCAATGGACTGTGGTGACTGTAGTGGGATAATATGGGTATTAGAGATGCCAGGTCCATTTCCTCTCACTCTCTCTCTATCCCCTTTCTTCTCTCTTTCTAAAAACACACACATGTGTGTGCACGTGTATACACATACACACACACACACACACACTTGCTATATGCATCATCCAACAATATCTAAAGGTGGAAAATGTTAGCAAACTCTCAGTGAGCGTATGTTCAAGGGCCTGAAGTCTGAGAGGAAAATTGCTTCAGAAGAAAGCAAAGTTGACAGCTCTGAGAGGGTCCTGATAAACAATACCTCCCATGTGAGCCATAGACTTCACTGGGCTTTGTAGCCAAAGTGTCATCATAATAAGGACTGAGAGCAGTATTCATTAAATTGCCCCAAGGCCCAGAAAATTCCCCAGAATGACAAGTGGCTGATGACTCATGTCCCTTCCTAAATAAGACAATTGCTCAAAGTACAATGACCCATATCTCACCAGACACAAGCTAAATGTCTATTGGCTCCTGGAACAAACCTAATACTTCATCCCAAGTCCCATATATATGAAAAAAATTAAAGACTTCTTTCAATGACAATAAGGAAAGTTCTCTAAGTTGAAGACCTCGTTTGTGCCCTCATATTTTTAAAGTTCAGAGTGGCAATATTTGGTAGCCCTCCTGCATGATTACATTTTTAATTCACTGAGTGTAGTGTTGACTTCCTGCACCTCAGAAGATACACTGGCTTCTGCAGAGTTCTAATTGCCCTGGGCCACAAAAGTAAAGTTACAAAATAAAACCCTGACCACTAAAATTAAAAGGAACATCTAATATTTTTAGTATTGTTTTGCCCTGGAAGAAGGAATTAGATTATGAACTCAGTAGAGAAAAAGACCTTGGAGTATCAAAAAGGAAAAAAAATCTTTCATAACCAACTTGAACAAATCCATCTTTCAAGGCAGGAGGAGATGGGCAGAATTCTGTTGGAACCAAAGACAAAGAAAAGCAATGTGGTTCAAGCAATCTGAAAGAAAAAAAGAAATGAAATGTATGTAATTAATGTGATTGATTTCCACAGTTAAATAAATATTTCATATTTCACTGATTTATTTTATTTTTCTTTTGCATCTGAAGGGACTCCACTCATGTAAGTACACTGATGTGATATTTTTGTCATTTTCAGAACCAAATAAGTATCCGATCATATCCTATGGAAGAAAAAAAAAGGCTCAAACATAAACTCTAGCTACCAAAAAACAATGATTTAAATATCTACTAAGTAAGTAGTATAAAAAATAAACAAAAAGAAAGAAAAATCAATAAATGGAAGTAATTAGGCAATATACTTTCTTTATATGATTTTAGAAGTCGCATATCTCAAAACTAGCTTTTCTTCTGCTGTTAATTTCTGAAGTTCCTTTAAACAGAATTAACTCTTTATTAAAAATAAGGCATTCAGTCTTCAAGAGACAGACAGCTCCATGGCTCCTGTGATCTAGCCATTTTGGAAAAAGGAAGATGTCCCACTGATAACTGGGCCTCCAGCATACAAAACTCGCGTGAACAGCCCTTCTTCAAGAGACAGACAGCTCCATGGCTCCTGCGATCTAGCCATTTTGGAAAAAGGAAGATGTCCCACTGATAACTGGGCCTCCAGCATACAAAACTCGC